TTCAAGACTCCTATTAGGGATTCTGCTGCTGCTGGGAAGGAGATTGCGTCTTTCGAAGGGGTGGTGGAGCATGGATTGTTCTTGGATATGACCACTGCTGTTATCATTGCTGGGAAGGAAGGAGTCAGTGTCAAGAGCAAGTGAAACATTGATCAATTTTATCTCCCAACTGGTGAGGTCTGAACAACTTTAACTTCTGTTTTGAGATGTAATTCTTGTGGAATTTTTAGACTTCATTATGGTTTCGAGGAAATAGGGGTTGGTTGTTGTAACATTAATAAGTTTTGGCATTTTTTTGGAGATGTTTAGCAATAATACTCCCATCTGAATGTAATTTGTATATTAGAATGGAAAAGAAATGTTTTTTTGTTGATTTCTCTTTGTTGCTTCTATCTTGACTAGTTTACATCTTTGTGCTGAGCATATGGCAATTTGATCACTTGGAAAATTCAATTTTCTTTTATAATTTGATGTTATAGAGTAAATGTAGTGGCATCAGCAACAATGTGATACGAGGAAAGTTCCCATTTTTATCCTTTTTGTATCTTCTTTTAGAGAACTCTTTGAAATACTGAATGTGTACCAGAGCTTGACTCAGCGGTTGTTTGAAAGCTTGAAACTGCATTACTACAGATGTGATGTCTAGTGCTTTAAATTTTCCCGTGGAGAGTTTAGAGGTGAGATAGGTACCTGTTTGCGTATGCTTGGGGGAGTAACTTTATATCCAAAGAAAGCTTTAAGTATGCTAATAGGCTCGGCTGTTGTAGTCTGTAGTTGGGCAAGGTACCCATCTACAGCCCACTGCTTTACATGTTTAGCAATAGAGCAGTTGTAATGTACACTCCTCTTTGTGATTTAATGGGTTACTCGGTTTGGGGTTTATCTTTGTGGATCTTATGCTCTTTAGGTGCTCCAATGTACAAGTTAAATGAGTAAATTGCTGTAGTTTGGATTTTGTGTCTTCCCTGACTATATTCAGGAGTAACATCCTACAGAAAGCCATTGTGCTCTCCGGGGTTTCATGTCCTTCCCTCCTTCCAACACCAAACCTATCTTTCTTGATGCTTACTTCGTATAGGTGGAGGAGGGAAGACATTGTAACGGGATAATCTGATAAGTCATTAGCTAGTGCAAGTCGATGATATAAGAAACTTGGATAGAGTTAAATATTATTCTTGAGCTGAGGGTCTATTGGAAACAACCTCTCTACCCCACAAAGATAGGTGAAGGTATGTTCGTGCTGTTTTGTTTTTGTATAGAATAAAATATTAGTTTAACTTGGATAGAGGAATGGATTTAAATTTAAATTGATTCAACTTTTGAGGCAGAAAAAAGGAAGTTTGTTGTCAACTAAGGTTAGGAGTGGATGCTCAAATTATTTCACTGAAATAATCGGTGGTTTCCGTTAAAGAGCATAACAACTAACTTGCTTCCTTTCTTTTATTTCTCAGGGGGTTGGGGGGCTCTCTGTGTGCGCAAGCATGTTTCTGAAATTAGTTAAGACTTAGGAATGTGATCTACTTGTTCTGATGTCCAATTGCACTAGAATAATGTAAATGGGATCCATCATGCCTAACTCATATGAAGCTAGTCATCTACACAAGATATGTAGTTGCTATATGAACAAGAACAACAACATACCTAGTAAACTCTTGTGGTCTAGGAAGAGTAGAGTGTACACAAACCTTACTACCTTGGCAGGTAGAGAGGCTGTTTCCGATAAACCCTGGAGTCTTGGCTCAAGGAAAGCAAAAAACACAACATTTATGGAGACATAAGCAGTAACAACAGCAGGGTAGTAAGAAACCCGAGGCATAGAAGACAACACGAAGTAAAAGAAAACTAAGAAAGAGGAATCCGGAAATAGTAACATAATAGTATAGCGAAAATAATACTAATGCTACTAGAAGGAGAGACAGAGCATGAAACTGATATACTTCTAGCATTCTCTCTGAATCCTCGACCTCCACACCCTCATAAGTTGAAGGCTATATGAAGAAAAGTAAAATACAACTGAAACAATATTCAAAATATACTCTGTACAGAAATGACAACACTATCACATGTTTATTAAATATATATGGTACATATGAATCTAGCAAATGAATGAAGTACAATGCGCTGGTATAGATGAAGCACCAAGCTGATATCTCTCATGCGAAGTAAAACACCATCACCTCTTCCTAGTTGAGTAAAGCCATAGCTGCTGAGGCCAGAAAGATAGCCATCCAGTGGGAATTCTTGAGCATGAATGATGTAGCTGCCAGTATGGAAGAATTAGAATGGTGAGACATCTTATACTCTGTTTAGCGGAAGTGTAATATGATTTTATTTTCCTCGACTTGACCTTTAGAATTACATAACCATGAACTGCTTTTGTTTCCTATGGAACATATACAAGGGTTATATCCTCATGTCCTATAAATTGAATCCAAATTATTGACGGTTGTAGCTCTTACCTCCATTTTTGTCATTACCTCCACTATTGGTATTAAAAATTGAAGATGGAGATGATGCAGTGGAATTTGAAAGGCGAATTCCCAGCTTTTGGCAATCAGATCCAATGGCACCTAAAAAGTCAAATATTGAATTAGCTAGTGATGTTATTTATGTGAAATTTCAACATCTAAATTGTTGTTTCTACTTACAATCATTGAAGCAAGGGAAAGCAGGAATGTCGAGAAGATTGGAATAACCAGATTTGCACTGGCATGTTTGTCCATGTGTTATATTCTTCTTGCATGTTCCTTCCCCACAGTAAATCCAATAGCAAGCTTAAACCAAGAAAAAGGTCATGGAGTTTAATAAGAAATTAGATAGAACATACACGAAAATTGTACGAAGAGAAGATTTAGTAATTACGATCAAAGAAAGACATGTTGTGTGGAATTGGTGGAGCTGGTGGAGGTGCTGGTAAGCAAGAATAGTCAAGAGAACCTGCAATAACACATAATCACCAACTCTTGGTCAAAAATTGAAATCAAGTTTTCTTCTATATACCAAACTTTTTAGATATGAGTTTCACTATACTGACACTTGGGAACAATGCAAGGGAGAAATTCAAGATCATCTTCATCGTCATCATCATCATGGCGAGTACGCTTCCAACCTCGTTCACATTTACAAATGAAGTTGAATGGCTTTCCTGGTGCTTTCTCACATCTTCCTTTCCCACACTCCACATCATTGCATATATTGTCTATATACAGATTCATATAACAGCCAATTCAAAAAGTTCACAAGTAACTAGATTAAAACAATAACAAAAGTTTTCTTCTATATCTAGTTTCTGTGCACAGAGAGACAGATTCAAGATTTGAACTTTATGAGACTCGAGTTCAAAATTTTACCAGTCAATTTAATTTACTTGTTCATATGATCAGAATCAAACATCTATGCTAGGTCTTCCCTAGTCTGTGTATATCTACTCTCTTTCTGTTTTTTAGAAGTTTGAGAATAGTAGGAGCATATGTATAAATTTAGAACTGCTCTAAAATTCATAACAAAATGACCAATAAAAAAAATATATATATGAATGAATAGATAGTTAAGTAAGGAAAGAGATGTACCAAAGTAAGGGGCAAGAACAGGAGGAATACTATCCTCTTTTGCAGCTAACATTGGTAATAAAACCAAAAGAAGAAGTAGGTAATGAGCTCTAAACTTGAACAAATCCATCTTCTCTATGCCAAAATTAATATTGTTGTTGTGTGTTTTATAGGGAAAGGAAGAGAATATGAATATGCATTTTGTGTCCAATGAGAGGTAAATTTATAGAGGGAGTTTGTGTTGAATATTTCTTAGTAGAAGCTTCTACTTGTATAAAATTTTCAAAGATTAGTATGTGGCAAGTCTTCTTAGGGTATTCCCAAGTCTAATTAACTTCATAATATATAATTATTTGAAATTTCCATTCCTTGGTGGATTGGTTAATCAATGTTCTATTACAATAAACTAAAGGCATTTTTCTTTTTGGGGTAAAGTTTTCTCTTTTGGTTTGTAGAACCTATAATGTAAACATAGAACCTAACAGTAGTAATTTAGAAAATTTTAATGGTTATTTGTGGAGAAAAGTCAGCATTGAGCAACATAGAAGTTAGAACCTGATAGTAGAATTCTAGAATTTGCTTAAATGGAACTTCTTCAAAGGAAAGACGAATTTAGGATTTTCATACGATGAATTTAATTTTTAAATTTCTTTTAAAATGATCATCATACTTGTATAGTAGTATTCTAGAATTTGTTTAAATTGAACTTCTTCAAAGGATAGACAAATATAAGATATTCAGACTAATTTAAATTTGCACGGAATAAACGTACTTCACCTTTAAGTTGTTTTCTTTTCTTTTCTTTTTTGTGGTTGTTG